GTTTAGTCATTGCATTAGTTTTGCGCCTAATTTTAGTTTTGCATTTTGTAACGCGTTTACAATTAATTACTTTTAATTACATCTAATTAACTGGTTGCGTAAAAGGGCCATGGTGCAATTTATGTTAATTAAAAGCTTTAATTAATTAAAATTAATTATCAGTGAATTTAAAATAGGTGTCAAAAGTGGGGGTCATTTGTATTGATTGCGTGTGTATTACGTAATGCCTATGCGTTTGACAATCGTTTCACACAAAAGCACAAGTTTTGATAGCATTTGTGTTATATCTTTGAATTGCATTTGATTTGATCGGTGATCGACAGACACTCACTCTTCGCACTCACACTCTCTTCGCCAGTAAATTGTGCGCAAAAATGGGCGTAAAGTTTGGTCACAAATGTGCGGCAACTCTGCAGACGGCAACCATCGGGAGTCCGATCGGCAAAATAGTGGTCACCGTTTGCGCCGACGGTTTGCATCGATTGACCACCGCTTGTGAGCAGCCGTTTGCGGCCAACACTGACGTCAAAGTAGTCCTCTTAGAGGACTCGCCCGACGCCGTCAACAGCGCACACTTCGCCGCTTGTGTCCAGTGGTTGGCCGACTATTTTGGTGGCCGTAAGCAAACAGTGGCCGACAATACCGTTCAGTTTTGTCCATCAGTTTCCAATTGTAAGCACTAGTTGTTTGACTGTCCGCTTGTCATACCATTAACTCTCTCTCTCTCTCTCTCTCTGTCTCTCTCTCTCTCTCGTGGATTCTTTAGCCGAGTTTTACCGCAAAGTGTGGTCAACACTGAAGGATGAGATCAGATTCGGTCAAACGACGAGTTACGGGGAGTTGGCGTCGATGGCGGGTAACCCGCGTGCGAGCCGTGCGGTGGGCTCAGCGATGCGCTCCAATCCCTTCCTATTACTGGTTCCGTGTCATCGCGTCCTCAATAAAGACGGTTCGGTCGGCAACTTCTCGGGCACCGGAGGGCCGGCTCTCAAACAGTGGCTCCTCTCCCATGAGAGCCACTATTTGGCCGACCATTGAATTACTGATTGAGATGTCATTTACTACTCAATTATGTCTGAATTACATGTAATGTTTTGTTTAGTAATTTTCAATTAAACCCATTATTTGTTTTACTGTAAGTTTTGTTCATTAAATATGTTAATGTTTTTGCATTTAATTGATAACTAATTTCTAACAATCGCTATGAGAGCCACAACTTAAGCTACAATTCAGATGAGACCTGTGCCCATCACCGCACCTAACCCTCGACCTAATCTATTCACCAATAAATTGACCAAATGTTGCGCACAATCTCATGATTTGTTTTAATAAACAAATATTTAAAAAACAGTGAATTTATGTAAAAAAAAAGTAATTATAAATATTGAATATGAAAGAAAAAGTAAACATTTTAAAGTACAGCGATTAAAGAGATTATACGGTACAATGAATTATTGCTGTACTTTAACTAAAGCTATTTAGTAATAAAAAAAGTTTCAAAAGTAAATCAAAATCATGAAAAAACAACTTATTATTAATTGTCTATAAAATAATTAAGAGATCATCAAATGGACGATACAAAGAGCTGATCCTTAACTTAAGCGCTGATTCAGTCGCTAACAATTCCTCTCTTCGCCGAACCGTTGCCCTCAATGGCAGAGAACTTATCGTTGAGGCCATCGGACTCTTCCTTTAGTCGGTGTCGCTTAAGGGCCGGGCGGTGGCCGACGGCTGATCCATGTCTGTCACCAGCGCTGTTAATTGCATGAAACCTGTCATCTAAAGTCGGTTCTTCAGCTGATCTCGAGGACGCGCCACCTCTTGCTTTTCCCGCCGCGCTTTGCGAGTAATAATCTTTCGGCAATCCGTCGGTGTCTTCACTGTTGAGAAGCTGAGGGATAGCTGGTGTCCAGTGAGAGCCCTCTCCCGTCGGCCGAACACTTAACAGAGCCCTTGTGTTGATAGTGAAGGAGTTGTAAACAGCGGTAATAGTCGCCGGTCTCGACAGCACAATGTCAGCGGCCGTATATTGGAACTCCTTATTATCCTTTACAAATGTAATGTTTTCGTTCAAATTGAAGAGTAAAACGAGATAAAAGCTGACTTCAGATAAGGCGACGCCATCGTTGAGTTTGACGGCCGCCTCTTTGGCGAAGCGGTACCCGAAAGAGTCGGCGCGG